ATTATTTCTAGAATTAAATATTATTATCCCTTTTAAATAGTCGATATTATTTATTGTTTTTCTCTCTTATATATATAACCCTCAATATCAACATAATTAAATAGATTTTCTCTTTTGCTCATTAATCTACCGTATATTAATAAATTATTTTCAATAATTTACTAAAACTTATGAAATATTTACAGGATTTCCAATAAAGAGCCAATGTTTTATTTGTTTGATCCACAAAAATGAAACAATTGTTTAAATAAGCTAAAATATAGTCGATACTAATTCAGTTCGATACACGAAATGAATATAATAAATATGATAAAATACATTATTTTAAATAAAATCTAATGTCTAGGAATTAAATTAAATAAAATAAAATGTTATTTATTATCAGTTCTTATTAAACTATTTAAATATTGGATAGATAATTGAATTAATTATAGAATGTATGACGCATTGTTTGTTCATGCTTTTCAAATATTAAATAATAATAATCCTAATATCAATGTTTATTTGAGATGATTTACTTGATTTGATCAGTAATCGTATCGTCTCAATGAAAAGGTAAAGTTTGTTTTGTTGTTTTTTGTTTTTCGAGGAAAATAATTCGATAATAATTAAGGTAATGCATAAAAATCTGATCAGAACAATATAAATTTAATAATTAAATATGATTATATAGATGATGATTAGTTTGTTTTGTTTTGTTTTGTTTTTGAATGATTTGTTTGATTAAATAATAATATTTATATATAAAAATAGTATTTTAATGACAAAATTTAGTATAATAAAATGTCATCGAATAAATTTTTTATTTAAATTTAAAAAATTGAATTATTATTACTAGACCGATTAAATATAAATATTATTTGATTAATAAAGAATAAATTAAATTAACTATAGAATATTAAAATAAATAAATTCTTTATTGGTTTAATTAAACGAATTAATAATAAATAATATATCAGTTTTATCAATAGTTAATCGAGAATTTTTCAAATATTCATATATATACATATCGGTATAGAAATTGTGAATTGATCCTTTATTATTTTAAATATCTATGATAAAAACAAAACAATGATATTTATATTATTCAAATTGATTAATTATAATCAATGAAAAATAAATAATTCTATTATATATAACTAATCAATTAAACTCAATAACAAAAAGAAATAAAAGTATTTATTTTAACAATTACTTTGATTAATAGTGGTATCAGAGTTTATCTTTATTATTAAATGGTTATATATAAATATATTAAATAAATTTATAAACAATATATAACTAAATTGAATTAAATAACATAAAACAATTTTCATTGATTTTGAATATTTATAGAAAATCAAATCTCCAATTAGGTTAGACTCACTTTTGATAATCAATATAAATATAATCGATTTCGACAATGATATATTCATTTAAATATTATTAAGAAGAATAATATATTATCTTTCCTAAGATTATTTTATTATAAAGGAACCTTATTTGATTTTATCATTATGATATTTACACAATAACTTATTGATTATTATTAATTAATGAGCTATGAACTATTATTTTCAATTTTCATTCAATCAATCGAATCAATTCTATTCTATGTTATTTACGAGTCTCTTTTACTTTTCTTAAATTAAAAAAAAATAAAATAAAACAAGTCACACCATAACAAAAACCAATAGCATTATTTATTTCTCTCTTTTCATATATACTCTAATATATGTCAGTGAAAAATTGCACCTAACGTAACGTAACAGACAGAAATTAATTAAGTATAAAGATTTATTTTATTAATTAAAATGATTAATTAGAATATTTTTATTTAAGATAAATATAAATTGATCAATGATGATTTTGTTACGTAAGTTAATCTTCTTAACATTGCTCATTTTAACAATAATAGCCATTATTATTTCAATTGTTATTCATTTTCAAAATAAAAAAAAAAATATTCTTATATCAAGTAGGATCATCATTATTATTTCATAACTATTGTTACTAGGATTTTATTATTTATCAGATTCAACAACAATTCAACAAAACAATTCAAATATATCAACAACAGAAAGTAATTCAAAAACATTTATAACAACAACAACAAATAGGATATTATTTAACCTTATCTTCAATGATCATATATTTAACATATATATTTGATTGAATACAGTTTAAAATAATAAGTAGAAAAGCGATGAATAGATTTACTGGTTAAATATTAAGAAATATTTCCTATTATTGTTAGTCAATATAAGTTGAATAAGTTGTGTATTTACAATAATAATATTAGAAAAAAAAAATCTTCTTTCTTCGACAGATTTTTGAAGAGGACGATGGTGACCAATTTTAAAAACTAAATACGACACTATTTTCTTCATAAAATTCCTACGACTAACTATTTGTCAATTATTTCTAGACATTGTTAACTATGTTTATCACTATTATTACATTAATATAGTTAATAAAAAGAGTATACAGACTATTAACTAATATTTTAGTAAAAAAAAAATACTTTTTTGTTTAATAAAATGCTAGTTTTTAAGACTAATTTTAATCTATTATATGACTATGGAATTCTAATTAAGATTTTTCATATATACATATATATATATCGATGTGATGATAAACAGTTGATAACCATTGGTTATAGATAATTATTCTGCTTAAGTTTATTTTAATCTTAATAAAAGGTTAATTGTTAGTCGAAATAACGATTGTTAGACGATTTCTGCCAGTTACATCGACTCTTCTCTCTTGTTTAATGAGTTTAATTGTTTATAATAGATAATCTCTCAAAAATTGTTTATTTTTGCTAAAAATAAAACTGTCAGATATAATTAAAAGGTCATATATCAACAATTCGGTTTAATAGATAAAAATTCATTTTTTGTTTTAGAATAATAATAGATAAAATTAAATTAAAAGAAAAACAAATGAAAAATTGAACAAAAAAAACAAGAAAAAAGAGTAAATTAGATGAATCGGTGGATCTTTTCTTTTTTTCGTAATTAGGATAAATTGTCAGTTTAACTCAAATATAGATAATATAGATATTTAATTAGGGCGAATTGTTTCATTTCAATACGAAAATAATAATATATCATTATAGGAATTCTATATTGATCGCAATTATATATATTGAGAACTTATTTTAAATATATAAATAATCTATAAAATTCATCTTTTTTCTTTTTCTTTCATTTTTCAGTTGGCATAACAAGTACACTGACTAATATAAACACAAATCTATTAAATAGTACAATCAATATAGTGACAACTGATCCAAACGCGAATAAATTCACCAGTGAAAGTTCGACAACAGATATTTCCACTATCGCAGGTTTGTTAATTAACGTATTTGATGTTAATATATTAATATGAGATTGATTATCTTATTATTTCCTTGTCTATTTATTCGACAGTTATTATAAAACGAATACATTTTATATTGACAACAATGATTAAATAACTCTTTAACTATTCTAGACAATAACAAACGAAATTTTTTTTTTAATTATGTTTTCATATTTAAACAAGTGAAATTGATCATCTTGCTGAGAGTTATTTTAGGTCAGTGTTTCAATCTGGTATAGAATCTACTTCAATAGATTGTCTCTTGATTCAAATTATTTTAGTGAGAAAGTTCGAAGAAATTATTTTTAACTAATTGACATTTTATTACTATTATATCGAGATCTTAAATATATTTATCTGGAAATAAACATAAGAAGATTTTTATTGATAAAACTCTTGAAAAATTCAATTAGTATTTTATTTAAATTTAAAAAGAAAAAACAACAACAAGATTAACTATTATTGTTTAAGATCAATAAATAATAATAATCAATTAACTTTCAAACAAGTTTTTATCAAACGAAATTATCTTCGACACTTTCATAGATAAATCTCTCGAACATTTTTACAATCTATCATTAAAAATTATTTATATCCATCGTAGATATTTTTATTTCAAATTAACTAATACGATTTTTCTAGTCAATATTAACTCAAATTGATCATTATTTTATTATTAATTATAATATTCTTCAGTCGGAATTCGTCTAAACGAAGTTTAGTTCAATATATTCACCATAGTTTCATAAAAAAGTGACTTTTTTTTCATTAATGATAAACGAATATTTATATTAAATATAAAATATATTTAATAAATAATTTAAAATATTTAACTATTTAATTCTATATATTAATATAATCTTTAATAATAACCGAAATAAAAAATAATTTTAATGAAAAAAAATCTACTCAGTTAATTAATTGATAATAGAATTATATATATATATATATATATGTATGACCAACTAATAGTATATTATCTATTCATAACAATTTACTTTAAACTCTTTTTTGTTTTGTTTTGTTTTTTTATTATTATCTACATATTAGATCAATATAGTAAAGTGTTAGTCTAAAAATTTTTCTCAATTAAACTCACAATTAAATTGATATGTACACTATTTTTCACTATTAATCCATGGACATTATTCGACAAATGAATTTTTCAAAAGCGCTCTACTCTTACATAATTTAAATTATCTCTTAAATATATATCATATTTAATAAAAATATTCGTTCATCATTAATGAAAAAAACCTCTCTAGTTTGATGAATCTATTAAAATTATTGTTCAATAAATCATTTTATGATTGACCATAGTATATATATTCACATGTAGATCCAGTTATATGTTGATTAGGTTGAATATTAAACCATATTATTATGAATAAAAACTATTAATCTTTATAAAAATGAGTAAATTTGAAAAAGCCTATAGAAAATATTTTCTCGTTAATAACAAATAATAAATTTTCATTTAATTATATTGATTAGATACTTTATTGATTGTACTATCTCAATACTCATCATCATTGACTAAATATAGTCAAACGTTTTGCGATAAAAATATTTGTCCAGGATCAAAATTCTTTTATGAAAGTATTCAAATAAATGTATCAGTGATTGGACATTATTTAATATCATGTAATAGTAGTATGGATACATATGCTTATATATATAATAATACATTTGATCCAACTTCTCCATCATTAAACGTTATATTAAAAGATGATGGTATTGATATATATAGTCAATGTTTATTATCAATTGATCTTGATACAATAACAAAATACATATTAGTTCTAACAACATTTTATCCAAATGTAACAGGAACATTTACAATAACTGGATTTGGTGTTGGATCACTTGGATTTTCTCCAATAAATATATCAAGTAAGATATATGAAGATATTTCCAAAGGTATTATTTAAGGCCTCCCCAATTCTCAAACAAAGTTACTTTTCATTAGAATGATCGAAATTAAGATAAATATAGGGAAGGATAGCCCGTTATATGATCTATCATAAACAACAATAATTTTTACTCGGCACCTCGTTTTTTCCAAAAATTCTTGAAGATTTCCGTCATCCTCTATTCGAAAAATAAGCTGTTTTTGAAAAAAATTGAAAATCTTTTTTCGTTTTTTCTCAGTTCATGATGTGTTAAACGTGCAACCCAAATTTCTCAGTCCAACTCCATGTGATGTATTGTGATGTATTTTAATTTTTTTTTGTTTGAAAGAGCATGTCAAGATGCAATGCATGATAGAGTTCTTTTTTTTAAATTAAACTTTGTTTTTATTATATATTTAGACACTTATATAATTAGACCGCCATTTTTAGAGTGTTTCTTGAGTCATTGAACTTGTGATCCCTTTTCTGCACTTAAAAAGTAAGAATTAAAAAAAAATGGCTCTATCATGCACTGCATCTTGACATGCTCTTTCCAACAAAGAAAAAAAAACATTAAATATATAGAGTGAGACTGGACAGAGAAATTTGAAATGCCAAATCAGATATTTTTGACTCTTGTTTGGTCAATACCTCTTTCGAACGTCAATGATACACGGCTGAAAATATTACCATAGCTTCTCCACTCCACGCCCAACATATCCTGAAAATTTCATACGATTTGAACGTACATTTGGGGCAAGATCGGTTTTTGAGGGAGGCGGGGGAGACCTTAAGATAATAAAATAATTATTGAAATTGAAAGTTTATTTTCATTAAATTAATTTTGATTAATACTTATCTAGAAAAGTAAATCATAATAAGATTTATTTATTGACTAGCGAGATCCCGTGCATACTGCACAACTTTTTTTTTTCTCTAATGTATGATGTCGGACATTTAACTTTTCATCCGGTAACGAACATACAGACACCCGATATTATGTATACGGATAGGTAGCCATACGACCTCATACTCTTATATCGCATATATTTTTATAGCCCATTAGCCTTCGATCTTATAGCCTTATATCTCTGGTAGCTCTTGTAGCATTATTCCCTTATTTTCTTATTGCTTTACCCTCTTCTTGCCATCCTCCCTTCAGGACCTATGGGTACCCCCATATAATACCCCTTGAGGATTTATGGGTACCTCATAGGATAGCCCTTGTGGATCTATGAGTATCCCTACATAATAACTCTTGAGAGACTATGGATACCTTTATAGGATAGCCCTTGAGGACCTATGGGTAGCCCCATATAATAACTCTTGAAGACTTATGGGTACCCCCATAGGGTAGCTATTGAGGATGTATGGGTACTCCAATTCGATAACCTCTGAGAGCCTATGGATACCTCCATGGGATAGCCCTGGAGGACCTATGGATCCCCATATAATAACCTTTGGGTATTCTCCTTTTAGCCTTACTTGACTTTTAACCTTGAACCCGGCACAGAGAAAGACGCAGACACTGAACAATATATATAGACTAGTGAGAACCCGTGCCTGCTACACGGCAGCTTTTTTCCTTTAACGTACGACCTGAAACCTTTAACTTTCCACACGGTAATAGACGCACAGACACTCGACATTATGTATATAGAAGCCCTACGGCGTGATATCCTTATATCGCTAATAGCCCGTGTAGCCTTACTCCCTTATAACCTTACACTCTTATAGCCTAATCCCCTTTAGTCCCACTTCCTTATAGCCATACCGCCTTACTGCGCTCTCCCCTGATAGGCTTATCACCTTACCCACTTATAGGCTTACCTCCTTATAACTTTACCCCCTTATTGTCTTACTCCCTTATAGCCTTATCACCTTATACTCTTACCCTCTTATACCCTTACCACTTTGCAGCCTTCCCCCGTTATACTCTCCCCCTTAAAGCCTTACCCCTTATTGCCTTACTGTCTTATAGCCTTAGCCCCTTATTTCCTTCCTCCTTTATAGCCTTGCCCCCCTTATAGTCTTCCCTTGTAAAGCCTTATCCGCTTATTGTCTTACTTCCTTATAGCCTTTCCTAACCTTTAACTTCTGACCCGGCCCAAACACACATACAAACACTGAATAATATATATATATATATAGGTTAAATCTTTAGAAATAAAATATTAACTTGTTTGTATTTCTCGAAAAATAATTGAAAGATAAATTTATAGAAAAATCTTCTTTGTTTTTTGTTTTTATTTCTCATCTGAATATTGTATAAATATGATTGTCAATATAATAAATATCTATTAATAATGAGTTTAGTTATTATTATCGTAATCAAAGATAGAACAAATGATAAGTGAATTAGTCGAAATAATAATCTATTTAAATAATAAAATAGTAAATGTTTTTTGTTTTAATTTATCTGTGAATAGATCCATTATTAGATGTTGACTCAATATATTCATCATCATTGAATGATTCAAGTAAAATGTTTTGTCGAGAAATAAATTGTTCACAAGGATATTTCTATTATCAATCAATTGATCTAAACATATCTAAAGATGGATATTATACAATTCGATGTTATAGTAATATTGATACATATGGTTATATATACAATAAAACATTTAATTATTATTCACCATCAGAAAATATATTATCATTTAATGATGATTATGGTGGTAATAGTCAATTTATGTTTAATATGTTTTTAAATAGTTTAACAAAGTATATATTAGTTGTAACAACATATTCATCAAATGTTAAAGGATCATATTCAATAATTGTATCTGGTCCCGAATATATTACATTCATTGTTCAATGATAATAATATAATCTTATTTATAGTTTCAAAACTAGAACATATTATCCATGTTTATATTCATTTGTCTTGTGATCAAATATAAATTCTATCTGTTGTTCATAGTTATAAACACATGTTTGTTTTTCGTTTAGAAATATATATTGTTTAACTTAGCTAAAACTAAAAAGATTGATTGTTTTAGAATTTATTCGAATTAGTCGTTTATATTAATTGCTTGATAAAAAAAAAGAGATTAATTGTGTCATATTATATCATTTATATTTAAAATAAATATTAAAACGAAATAAAAATTTTTAAATAAGAAGAATTTTTATTTTAATATTTAAATATTAATCTATTTCAACGATAGTATACATTGGGATGATTCTTTTGTTTGTTTTTTTCATTATTCTATTTTGATTCGTAAAAAACATATTTATTCAATAAAAAAAACAATAAAAATTATTTGAGAGAAAAATAAAAAATGTTAACATCATATTTAAAACCAATAATAAATGTTAATAAATGCAGATTTATATAAAAATAAATGTGGAAACCTCGGATTTAAATCCGAGAGCTATGTGTACTTCAAAAAGTGAATGAGACAAATCGGTCATCCTAGAATGTGCGGATATAAAAATTAGCCTGGCAAATCCTTTCTATAAACATTTGAATTCTATTGGCTACTACTCAACCAATAGGATTTCGGAGTGAACACAGCTCAGATTTGGACTCTACGCCTTGAGTTATCCTAAAACAATCGTTTTTCCTATAATTTGGTTTCTATTGGTCAGTGCTCAACCAATGGGGCTTCGAGTGAAGTGGATTACAGATTCGAGTTCTTCATCCTAGAAAACCTCGAAGTATTATCTCTGTGATCGGAAGATAGAGCTCGAATTGTAGATCGATTAGAGCGCAGACAAAAACAGAACCGATTTCCGTTTGTTTATCTCTGCAATAGGTGAGCTAGCCTTGTTGTTTCTTTATGTTTTATATACCATTTTGTAGCCCGTGAAATTCTCTTTCGAATGGTGTATAATAGTTGGGGTTTTCTTTGACTATGGTAGGGAAAGTGTTTTACGAAAGTGGGGATGGGTCGATTTTCCTATAGGAAGCCATAGAGACAAAATGAGTATTTTTGGCAATAACTCAGGAACGGCTCGGCAAATTCTTCTCATCTTTGAACTCGACCGAGATATTGTTGAGACTGAACTGTGTAGAAAATTTCATCGCGATCGGACTCTCCTTTCAAAAGTTATCGTGTTAACGGCCGGCCTGACGGACGGACACACTGACCGATTCTAGAGTGTACTCACTTCTTGAGTACCCAAAAAGTGAAGATAATTGAGTCCTGATAATATAGGACGCGAGGACCTAAGAGCACCCTCACAATATAGGACTTGAGGACCTAAAGGTCCCCCTATAATATAGGACTTCAGAACCTAAGGGTACCCTTATAATATAAGACTTGAGGACGTAATGATACCTCCTTAATATAGGACTTCAGGACCTAAGGGCACCCTCACAATATAGGACTTGAGGACCTAAAGGCACCCCTATAATATAGGACTCGAGGACCTAATGGTACCCTTATAATACAGAGACTTGAGGACATAACGATATCCCCCCAATATAGGACTTAAAGACGTAAAGGTACTTAAACACGCCCCCCCCTCTCCTCGGAATCGGTCAATATTGGTATAGGAAAAAGTGAATGAAACAGATGAGTCACCCTAGAATGTGTGGATATCAAAATTGTCCTGGCAAACCCTTCCTGTAAACACTTAATTTCTATTGGCTATTGCTCAGCCAATACGATTTGGAGGCAAATACAGCTCAGATTTGAACTCTTCACCTTGATTTACCCTAAGAAACTCGTTTTTCCTATAGCTTGATTTCTATTGGTCACTGCTCAACCAATGGGATTTCGAGGCGAATGGAACATAGATTCGAGTTCTCCATTCTAGAAAACCTCGAACTATCATCTCTGTGATGGGTAGATAGAGCTCGAATTGTGGATCACATAGAGTGTGGACAAAAACAGAACCGAATTCCGATTAATTATCTTTGCAATAGGCGAGTTAGCTTTCTTGTTTCTTTATGTTTTATATACCATTTTGTAGCTCGTGAAATTCTCTATCGAATGGTATATAATAGTTGGGGGTTTATATGACTATGATAGGAAAAGTTTTTTATGAAAGCAGAGAAGGGTCTATCTTCTCATAGGGAAAAATGACTATTTTTGCAATAACTCAGCAATGGTTCGACCAATCATTCTCATCTTCGAACTCGATCGAGATATTGTAAAGACTAAACTGTGTAGAAAATTTCATTGCGATCGGACTCTCCTTTCAAAAGTTATCGTGTTAACGGCCGGCCGGCCGGACGGACACACTGACCGATTCTAGAGTGTACTCACTTTTTGAGTACACAAAAAAAAGTATGATAAAAAAACAAATAAAGTTTTTATTATGTTTGTTAACCGTGATACTCCCAAACACCAATATTGAAAGACGATAACTACTATATTTTATCGATAAAGTCATTTTTTTTTCTTTTTCCAATAACGGTTCTAATTGAAACAATATTATTTATGTGTATAGATCAATGAAAAAGATGATACCCGATTGTGTGTTTATTTATTTAGAATAATTAATAGAACAAGATCCAAGTTGACTATTCGAATATGATAAGTAAATAAAAAAATTTCTCTTTATTTTCTTATTTTCTAAGAAGAGGATCGAATATGAGTCTGATTGATAATAAAAATCTAAAATAAAGATATAATAAATGAGTGAAACAATTTGTTTTTTAATTTAAAGATACATTGATAATATGATTATAATATATTAATAGAAATCTATTATAATCTATTGATTATCTATTATTAATTTAGTTCGAAAATAAAATAAAATAAATTCTAAATCGACTTATCTTTTCAATAATTAATATAATTAATAATTAATTAAATATGAACAAAAATAAAGGTAAATTATCTTTAAAGTATTTAATCTATTGAGAATAATATTTTTTTCATTTTATTCTAATAAAATGTAATTTGAAATCTTGCTTTTTTTCTTTTAATAGACTAGTAAACATTTTTAGTTGTTTTCCGGTAAATAAAAGTTCGAATATAAATCTATGCTAATAAATTAAACGAATAATATAAATATTAATCTGGATTATTTATTCTTATATGAAAAACTAATTAATCAATTCTATTAATTAATAATTATTTTTCATTTTGATTCTTCTCTCTTTTGTTTTTTGTTTTCTTAATATCTATTTAGTTTGTTCTGTTTATTCTCAATTATAATATAAATAGATTGTTTAAATCATTCATCTATGAATATATTATTATCTTAAAGGATGAAACTACACACATCTACTATGGGTAATCAAAAAGTATCGTGTCGGATTTGGTCACCTACTCAGAATTAATAAAGCAAACATCTCATGTTGTAGAACAAGTCGAGGCGCGTCGAATAGTATATTATAAATCTTGTTTTCGAAAAATTCTCAGGGAACCAGAGAGGATCTATCGCTAGATGATCATGCATTCAAAGCATTGACCATTTTGGGCCTTGATATCAGTCGAAAGTATTTGTAAAAATAATTTTTCTATATAGAGTTTTGTAGAGTTTTTCACGAGCTACAAGGTTATATAGTTAGTACCTCCGTCCGATCATTCTATTTTTGATAAAGAAAAATGCGACTTTTCGATGATTGACTATCATTTTTCATGGGTAATGCCTGTCGGTGAGTCATATTGAATGCATCGCTGCCCACCACTAAATCTAATCTGATTTCCTCAAAACTCTTTGAAAACAAGATTTATTATAGATCATTCGACTCGCTTCGACTTGTTCTACAACATGGAATGTTTGCTTTATTAATTCTGAGTAGGTCACCATATCTGACATGCTACTTTTTGAAAATTCTCAGAACTTTTTCACTGTCCATAGTATATATATATATGTCTATATCACAAATGTTTAGTTACAATCAAGAAAAATTCTTTTAAAGATAAATAGAAAAAAAACTGAAATCGATATATCGGGTTGTGCATAACCTTTTGCTAGGGGGGGTAGCGCTATTATTTCAAGTTGAATACCTAATGAATTTTATATCAAATTAAAGAGCGTCGAAAACTGGATTTATTAGTACTAAATAGTAAGAGTTATCAAAATATATTAATGTCGAACTTACGAAATTTTATGCTTTTTTTAGCATAGAAAATTAAGGCACCAACAATTTTTTATAGGGAAGAAAAACACTCGATTTTCTCAATAAAATGAGCTTTTTCCATTATTTTTACTAACAAAGACGCTGCGGGATATACTTGTTAGACGCAGTTTTTCACGCTGCATCGGATAAGTCTATTTCGAAGCGTCTTTATCAGTAAAGATAATGAAAAAAGCTAATTTCATTGAAAAAATCAAATGTTTTTCTTCCATATAAAAAAACCGAGTTATTAGAGATTTTTTTAGGATTTTACAAGTAATTTTTAAAATTTTTTATCTCAGAAAAATGGCTTAAAAAACTTCTGATATATACAGTTTTGTAAAGCTCGACGAGCTCTATCGAACCATGTAAAAATATCAAAAGAAAATATTTCACTCTATATTTGAACTGCTGGTGCCTTAATTTTCTATGCTAAAAAAAGCATAAAATTTCGTAAGTTCGACATTAATATATTTTGATAACTCTTACTATTTAGTACTAATAAATCCAGTTTTCGACGCTCTTTAATTTGATATAAAATTCATTAGGTATTCAACTTGAAATAATAGCGCTACCCCCCTAGCAAAAGGTTATGCACAACCCGATATGATAGAGAATATATATATTTCTATATCGAACTGATAATTTAACCAATTGGATTAAGCTAATCAAAAAAAAGAAAGCGAGAAGGTAGTATAATATCTATTCAATAATCATTTTCTAATAAGATAATTCTATTAAAAAGTCTAATATGATCGTTAGATATATTATATAAATCGGATTCTTATTGAAAGGCT